GCTAGGCAACAGACGGCTTGTTTGTTGCCCCCATAATAAAATCATAAAAGAACACAGCGTTTCAGAAATTGGATCTGTTTCCGTCCTCAGTTGAAGGGTGGGAGGTACCTGCTCTGTTAGGCCGCTAGAAAGTGAGATAGAAAGGGTGGAAATTTTATGCAATAAACCTAACCAACAAACAGATCGAGTCAGTGAAAACCAATGCATAAGATTAATTGGAGAATTTCGTTTTTGTGAACCCCCTTTTTATTATTTTGAAAAAAAATCATATATATACACACACACAAAAAGGCCTAGGCAATGTCCATCCGACCCTCTGTAGCACATTCTTATACACATCTTATTCTATAACAGCGGTCATCCCTCGATCTTTTAACATGTCTATTAACTCTAAGAATATACTGTTACAATTTGTACATATTGCCACATGTCACAGTGACTGAAGACGGGTATCGGATTAGTAATTGGATTTATTAACCGCCTACAGGTCGTAACTACAAATAATTATTACATTATTGCTGAGTTACACAATTTACAATCACTCCACACTAATCTTCGCAGTCTGTTTCCAGTAATCTTCACTATCCGTTTCCTTGCAACGGGTTTACAACACAGGAACTATAGAAGTCTTATTAAATCACACCCTCCCAATACCACTCCACTATAGCACATATAAAGTCTTCAAATGTAAAGGTAACAGGCCGTGGAGGCCCGTAAGGTTGTGAAACGTCGAGGCTCCCACATTTCTAGATAATCGGCTCACAGATGGCGGTGAGGTTGTCAGCCTGCCGCCAGGAAGATTCCTAGTACTACTTTCTATTAGAGGCTGAGTCGAGCCCGGGGCCATAGTGCGGCTGGAAGGCTTAGTTGAATGAAAATTGCAGTAACCTCATCGGGATTCGAACCCACGACCTTTCAGCTTGTAGCATAGTGTTTCAACCAACTACGCTACCGTGTACCTCCCATAAAGTCTTCAAATCACACGTTAATTTTTCACAGGCTGACTTCTTGTACTTTTCTGTACTCCTCGAGCTTACTACTTGCTTGCTTGCTTGTTCGCGTGCTTCTGCCGCTAATACTACTCGTAACTTAGGAATTTTGCTCACTTATATAGCCGAAGCACGTACACGGACCTACGGCAAACACATATCACGTGATCGCTCTCCAGCCAGTCTATTGACGCGTCAGTCGGATCTGCAGGAAAACACAGCTTCCTCTATTGTTGCATGTTGGACCGTGTTTCCAGAGCTGTTGCCGGGCAAATTGTTGATCAGATCCGTTACAGTATACTTCCTTTTCTCTCTTTTAAAATAAATTTAGGAATTCTGTGTATGAAGTAACAGATGCCTTGCACAGATCTTTTTTACTGTTCTCGGACAAAATGTCCATCATTGTTGCCCTTTGGTCCTCCTACAATTCACAACCCCAGAAAATATGTTCCTCCATTTGCAGTCCGTCACCATATTCGAATTCAGCTGTGGGCATGATGTTAAATCTACTTAAGCTTGCTTTAAGACTGGAGTGGCCTGCTGTCATATGTTGTGAAACCATTTTTTGCCTACCGCTAACACCATCTGTGGAATAAAAAATTGGACCCCGGGACAAAACTTTATAATACCGGATAATTAACAAAGTTCAGAGACCAAATAACTTTGAGTAACACCATTGTCGGAACCCTTTAGAATATACTTGTATTGGTTAGTTGGAAAATGGAACCTGTCCATGTCTCAGCTTTTGGATATGCTCCATCTTCCAACTGACTCTTTGTGATGTCAGGTTTCCTTCAAATGCTCTCATCTATGCAGATGGGCTACTGGAAATTATGCATAGGCAGTTGTACACGGAGATTATCTGAAAGCCTTCTGCAAATTGTTCGGTAACTCTGACGGGAGGGGGGACACTACTCACTCAGCTTGTGTCACGCACCTTTGGATTCATGGGGTAGTCAACAAATCCATAGCCCATACACATTACAATTTACATTCCATATTGTCCCAATAAATCTTTTAACAGGTACAGTGAGGTGAGCTTATGAGTTATGTGCGTGTCTACCACACTCCGAAGCCGCTGCTACTGTATTAAACACCTGACCAGTCACATTACTTCTTGTACCGAAATGCCACATGAGAATGTCCATATACAATACCAGGGTAAAAAGTAATGAGAAGCTCTGGTAAAAATTTCACAATGTTACAGTTCCAAATAGGATAAAACTGTTCATGCAGCAATAACTAAGTTTAGACAGAGTTGTTAGTGGACAAAAGCAAGCCGAATCAAAAAGCCAAATTCTCACGATATTTGATGAAATTGGTGCTGGGTTTAAATATTTCTTCCCTGGACGCCGTTTATAGGTGACTACAGTTTAAAGTTTCGGGTTTAAACTTTCATGTTTTCTCTGTTTCCGCGGGGAAAGAAAAACTTAACGCATGAATGTGAATGTTATGTGGATACAAAGAATGTGTGCATAACTGCAGGGACCACTTCCATCATCTGCTGTGATTCGTCTCCCTATTGGCTTGTCAGTTTCACTCCTGACAGACGGGCAATAAATGTTCCAAATCAAAGTAAAAATAAAAGTACTTTATAGTCATTATGCTCGGTCTGTATACCAAATTTTGTATGAGTAGCTCATTAGTTAACACAGTCAAATTAGAACTCTGGATATAAATTCTACCTGTTGTGTTGTACATTCCACTGAATTTCGGCACGTTTTGCCACAAAATTTAAAAGTGTTTTGATTTATCACAGTACCAAATTTTAGGACCACAAATTAAATGTAATTGGTATTGCTCATATTTCAGAAGTATAAGTGGTCTCAATGTTGTTATGGTATGTGGTGGAAAATTATATGTGTGACCTTTTAGATTCATGATGATCATACATGTATGAAGTTAAGTAAAAATAAGTCAGAAACTTGAGACATGAACATACGCAAGCATGAACCCATAAACACATCTTACCTTATAAAATATAAAAAGAATGCTAGAAGGGACTATTTAATGGAATCTAGATTCTTTTTGACATTGTTGTCTTCAATTTTTGATATTATTTGTTATAATCTTGTCTTTAGCTTGCTTGAGTGTATGAAAATACTGCATAGAATGTCTGTGGTGATTAGGCCAGTCCGACATAAATGCCATTCTGAACTCCTCATTTCATCTGTCTCCTCATGGTACAGGCAAAACTATGCTACCTTTTTAGGAAGTACAAGTGTTTCATAGGGTTACCTCGATAATCTAAATATTACCTATGGTAATAATAATTTACGTGAACAAAATGACGTAAAATTTCTAGGACTGATGCTGGATAACCTATTAACTTGGAAAAAACACATTGAATCAATTACAATGAAATTGAATACAACCTGTTATATTATTAGAAGATCTAAACAATT